CCATCTGGCGCGGTTACAAGGACATCAAGGACGCGGGAGGCTGGGCAGTGCTTGTCTTTTCCGGCGTGGGATTCTACCGCTTCTGCAAATACAGAGTTGGATTTGACCCGGATAGCATGCAGCGACTTCGGTGCCTCCGACCGCAGATCGAGGTCGCCGCCGATACGCTGCACCCCACATGGCGGCATCTACTCGTGATTGTCGGTGAATGCACGCAGCGTCGCTTTTTCGGCCACCCACACGACTGGGTAGTCTACAGGGACGGTTCGGATCCGGTATCGCTCCGGTCAACATACCTCAAGTGCAACCCTAACTTCAGCTTTGAGCAGCTTGAACATCCAGTCATCGATATGAGCGCGTGGGGTACCGATGACCCACGGTGGGTGCCGCCAGTGGACGCCGTGGCTTGCGTCCTAGGCATACACACATGTCAATCGTGCGGGCGGGAACAGTCCGAAGACCCTATGACCAACTCGTGCTACTGCTTCCCGACGCTATTTGGGTTCGGACGCCGGTTCCCTTGTCCGGTGCAGGTGTTCCGGACCTCTGACGGACGCAACAACGGCCTGATGGCCCTGTGTCCGTTTGAGCGCGGCGCGGCGATAGGAGAATTTGTGGGCCTTGTCACGAGAGATTTGCAAAACACGGATGTCATGGATAGCTCGACGGGTGGCCAAGCCTATCAGATCTGGCAGGGTCGGCAGGGCAACTTTACGAGGTTCATCAATCACAGTCGCCAGTCCAATGCGCAATTCCAGCAATTTGTGTGGATGAGTACGCAGCGCATCATCCTAGTGAGTAAGGGCATTGAAGCGGGGCGCGAAATCACGGTAGAGTATTCTGAAGCTACTGGCGTGATTCGTACAAAGGATGTCTCTATAAAGAGTCAAATTGCCGGAAACCGAGTGCACCTCGGCGGGGAGAAATGACTCTGCGGAGTCGTTGGTTCAAGTATGACACGAAATGATGGGCGAGGGCGGCAAATAGGGTTTAGATGAACCACACGGACGAAGCGGCGGTGAAAGCGGCGGTGAGAGCGGGATAAACAAGACGATATTTCATGCTTAGGAGAAGAGATCTTCTCTATTGTATCTTTTTCTTTCAAGTTGGTTTCCCGTCCCGCAGCTTCGGCGACTTGCCGTGACGGCCTGTGTTATCCCGTCAGCTCTGTTTGGCTTTGAGGTGTGGTTTTCGGGCCGTAGGCCACTTCACTCGCCCGGGCCGTGCTCCCGGTCTGACGCACCACCCTGACTGACCTCTTGTTCAGAGAGTCAGGCCTGCCCACGGCCATAGCCGCTCTAGAAGGGGTAAGATGGCGCAATGCCGCGAGGCTACGTCGAAGTGACGCTCTACACCCACTGGTCTCTCGGCTGGAGGGTCGAGCCCTTGATTGCTTCGGGAGGGATACCTGACTCCAGCGGACCTATGCTCTCCTGCCCCCATGCCCACGGCTGTTCCTGATCCTTCCGAACCCACCTGTGCCTCAGAGAGACACCAAAGAGAAAACCCTCGGCTGCTTTTCAGCAGATGGTCAGGGGACTTTCGGCCTCTGACCTCGTGGTCTACTCAGACGGGTCGATGCTCGCCGAAAGCGCTGTGGGCTACGGATATGCGATTCACCGCGGCCCTCAAGTCATCGCAAAAAGCTATGGTCACAGAGGTCTTTGATGCCGCAGCTGAAGGAGCCCGGCAAGGCCTGCGGCGAGCACTTCGTCTAGCCACCTCCTCCATCGCACCGATACACTTCTGCCTTAATCATACTTCTGCCCTGAGCTTCATCTCAGGCCTCGGTAGCTCTCCAGGTAGGTCGCAAGCAGCTATGCAAGAGATCATCGACGCCCAGCAGGCAAGGAATATCAAATGCCACTGGTCGCCTGGACACACCTGGATTCCTGGAAACGAATGAGCTAATACATTTGCAAAGAAAAAGGCTGCCCTCCCGATGCCCAGCCCTCCGCCACTGGCCTCATACGCCGGGATAGCAAAGAAAGCCCGGACGCATGCCCGGAGCCATTACCAGCAATGGTGGAATAAGTCTAAGCAGAAGCACAAACTGGGTATGCAGGAACTGCCGTGGTCATCGGATGCACCCCAGAACTAGACTTGCCTTGCACTTTTTCGCATCACCTCCCAGCCGCGCGCTCTAGCTGCGGATACTTCCACTCCTACGAAGGGCGCTTTGGGCATAAGGTGACTGACAGAATTTAGGATACCCTCGTTTAGGTGAAACTCACCGCATACAGTCATTACTCAGTTAACCACATAGTCGGGCCAGGATTGCCCTACAAGGGATAGATGCCACTCATTTATACAGATCTACTGCAGGCCTAGCAGATCACTCAAGCAATACAACCATACTCATCCCCATCCATTATGCCACTGCTGACCATACTGAAGATCTGTCACTCTGACTGCAGCCTAACCATCGGGCTCACTACTTTTTAGCATAGCATTGAGAGGGTCAAGGTTGGCTGCATTATCACTATCCTATCTAGCACTATCGAAGCCGCTTCCTTGCTGTCTATGCCGTGGCAGGTCAGAAACCCTCCTGACACCCTGCCAGAAGAAGTCGGTTGCACTTTGTAATACACCGGCCATATATTACTCAATACCATCAAGAGAAATTGTTGGCTCTTTTGCTAATAGAGGTGGTTTGGCACGAATCCTTACAGCCAAAGCGGCAAAGAGTGAAGTGTCTGGAGGCGAAGAACCGTTTTGTTGCTTGGGAATTATTCGACGTCATCGAACTGAGCGCCGTTGAGGCGCTTTGAAACGCGCTCCGTGGCACTAATACGACCCGCCGCGTAGCGACCCAACCCACGTCCCGGCGCAATGGACCTCGAGCCAGATTCGACGTCCATCACCGTTACGAGGGAGGTAACGGCAGCAAGCGACGAGGACCTGCCATCACGAAAGGTACGAAAACCATCTACAAAAGTCCGACTAAACCAGGCTCGCCAAAAAATAACCAAAGATACGATCGAGCGAGCGACCAAGACTACTAGCAGTAGCCGGCGTGCAACCACTACTCGAGCCGCTACCTTATCCAAGGAACGCGCAAAGCCTATTAAGGAGGACGACAAAGGGTTACCTTAACAATGGGCAAGCAGATCAAAGAGCTACACGCAGCAATAAAGATCATATTTAACGTGTAGAAGAAGTCAGAAACCTCAAACCAGAACGTAGAGGCAGAGCTTCGCGTGGTCACCGCTGAGCTGGAAGCAGTCAAGAGCGATCAACAGTCTGTCAAAGGAGAGCTACAAGCGATGAAAGAACGCGTGGAGGACGAAAGCGCCAAGACGAACGAAAGCCTCGTAGCAATCGCGGTAGTGGCTGCGATGCGGAACAGCCCAAGTGCGTCATATGCGGACGTCGCGCGAAGCGGCTTAGGCGGGCAAGGTCGCGACTCGCGGGTAGCTACGCCGGGCAACGCAACTCTGGCGAGCCGCAGCGACACTCTATTCTGTACGATCGACACATCAAGAGTTGAAGAAGGCAGCGACAAGCCCAACGCAGGTCGGATCCGGGCTGCGGTGGAGAAGGAAATGCGCGCTATAGACGGACAGAGTAGCTGGCGCTGTCGGGCCATCACAGTAGACCCAAGGAATGCGGATAGGATCCGGATCATTTGTCGCGACGATGCTGAACATAGGCTTGTCAAGCAGATCTCGGAGAAGAGCTTCGGTCCCGGCACACGAGTTCTACAGGACGAACTCTACCCCGTGAAGATCGATAACGTGAAGAGAACCGAGATACCGGACGAGAAGGGTAATGTCAGGGCTGAAGCGGCAGAGGCACTTAGCCGAGAAAACGAGACCAACGTTGCCAAGATATCTTGGCTGAGCAAGAAAGACATGCCCAAGGCGTATGGGTCCATGGTCGTGTTCGTGACCAAGACCAGTGATGCGCGTAGACTGATCTCTGAGAGCTTCTTCCACGTTGGAGGACAGTCCGGCACGACGATGGCATTTGAGCGGCGGCCACGTCCTCAACAGTGCTATAACTGCCAGCAGATCACCAGGCACAAGGCGTACCAGTGCGTGAACCCCCAGGTGTGTGGACGATGTGCCAAGGTCGGCCACCACCACAGTGAATGCAGTGAGACGATCGTGACATGCGTGCCTTGTGGCGAACCGCACGAGTCGTTCAGCAAGAATTGTCCGAAGCTGTATCCGCGTTCCCATGAGTAAGAAGGTCCAGATCCTTCAGCTTAACGTGAGGAAACAGGCTGAGGTCCACGAGAGTTTGATGAATGACGAGGCGCTGCGCGACTTCACGGCCTTAGCGGTGCAGGAACCATGGGCGTGGAGGACAGAAGGTAAGGTCGTTACTGTTCCGATGGGACATAGCAGGTGGACGAGGATGGTTCCGACGGAGTGGAGGGACGAAGAAAGATAGGGAGTCAGGAGTTTGCTGTGGGTGAACAGAGAAGTAGAGGCGGAACAGGTGCCGATAGCGTCCTCGGATATTACTGCGGCCATTGTTCGGCTTCCGGATCGATGACTGCTGGTGGCGTCGGTGTACGTGCCGGTGCAGAAGCCGGAGATGCTGCGGCAGGCGTGCGACCTGCTGAGGCAAGCTATCACGAATGTCCGAGGAGGAACAGGCGAAAGGGTGGACGTGGTTCTGGTAGGAGACTTCAACTGCCACGACCACCTATGGGGAGGCGACGATGTGTCGGAGGGCCGACAGGGCGAGGCGGACCCGATCATCGATCTGATGAGCGAGTACTCACTCCGCAGCCTCCTTCCGCGTGGCACGAAGACGTGGGAGAAGAACGATGCGG